GATCTTATGGCAATCAGCCAACACCAAAGTATAAACATCAAAGAAATGTCATCACCATAGGTGTGTACTTAAACACAGAAATCCGTATCTCCAGATCAATAGTGTTTCCTGGCCCCTCTTGCTCTCCCCTTCAGATGTAAATTAGGAAATTCAAAGGAAACAGAAAGAACTAAGCAACAAGTGGCTGGGCCTCCATACCAACTGCTGAGCCTGGGGCAGCTGTTGGCATGACCTTTAGTGAGTCTTCCACTTAGCAATGTCCTGGCCAGGCTCTCTAATACTGATGGTCACTCACTTGTCAGCCCCCTTGGGAACAATCCCTCAAAGCTTTCTAAACTGTGAGTGCATTTTTCTGACATAATAAGCATAACTTATTGAACAGATTTAAATCTTTGATGAACTAACAGTGCTTCAAAGTCATTATTCTGACATTAGTGGCAGTCTCATAGACAGTGAACTGTACAAGATCAGATGGATCCCATAGTGACCAAAGAAAATGCTCTGGAGTTTGTTTTTTGACTAACCCTGTGATACAAGTTCACTTTATTTTGATTTGTCTCTTTCCAAAGTGAGACATAGTCAAAAGAAAATACCAAAATACGAACGACTGGGATGCTTTTAAAAGGAAAAACTAAGGATTTGAGAGGACTGGGTCTACTCAGTAAGTAAAATATCACAAGGGAAATTATAGAATTAGAAACTAGAAGGAATAATTGTGATGAGCCAATCACACATCCTTCATCTTATAGCTGAGGAAAATGAGGTCATATGGTATGAAATGACTTATCCAAGTCACGCAGCCAGTCAGCAACAGGACTAGGACTCATGTCTGTTACTCGTTTTACTATGCAAATTGCTGAAGGTTAATATTTTTGGTGTTTAGTTGCTTCCCTAAACACTAAATTCACTAATGAGTGGTTAGTCTCCATATAAATGTATGGCACGTAAGTGAAATCTCTGGAAAAAAAAGAGGAAAATACATTCTATGAAACTGCTAAATTTGGTATTCACAGTAACATGACGTCAAAATTTCGTTGGAATACAACTTTTTATCTCATTATTGCCTCACAGTGACACAATAAGCCCTGGCAAAAACTGCTATTTTTGAAGTTGTATTCATTTTTCCATGTCATCGGGATTTACTTGCGTTCAGTGGATTTTAACAATAATTTATTCACTGGTTGTCTGGACCATGGATCAAAAAAATTACAAACAGTTTTGCAAATGTCTCAAAGTCATTAGGCAGATCTGCCTGGCTTATAAATAAAACCCGTAAATTTCCTTGGTATTATTTAAAATTAAGGAAGTTCAAAAGTGACCTTCAAAAATGCAATACTTGAATTAAAATAATAGCATATTATGTTTAAAATCATGTTAATAACATTTTAGAAATGAATCTAAACCCTCTCCAGAGAACCCTTGACTAAAATATGGTCTTTTGTCTAACATTTGCTTCAAAATAGGAGAAATGGGGGGAGTGAATTAGCACATAGATGGGGCGCAACTAACCATGGGTTAATGGCTGTTGGGGCTGGATGAAGGATATTTTTAAAAATAAGAGTAATAGTATCTAATTTTATGTATGTTCAAAATTCTCCATAATAAAAGTTTTAAAATAACTAAAAAAAAAAAAAGAAATGAATCTAAACCCTGTTCATACCAAAGAAAGGTAAAATGTTTTTAATTTAAAGCCATCTCCACCATCTTCAGTAAATCCCTTGTATGAGAGTTTAATTTGCTAATTAGACTAATGATACCTGCCTTCATTGTGAGTTATGGGTAATTAGATGTTACAATGAACTACTAAGAGAGAAAGGACCCCTCAAAGTGCAGTCAACCAGATCATTATCTGAGGCAGAGCAAGCTAACTATCACCATAAAGTTCAAACTAGAAGAACTGATCTAAACATCTAATGGACAATATTGAAGGGTCAAACCCCTTATGCTTAGTGAATTCACACTATACAATGTTTTTAGTAAATTAAAATGGGCTTTGATATAGGAAAAATATGCAGTATCAGAAAATGTGTACAGAAAAATAGAAAACATGTAGAGACAACCCTCACTGAGTTCTAGAGAATTTCCTATAAACCGAAGAATACAAAAGTATAAATCCAGAGTTGGGACAACCACTCTCAGGTGACTTAACCCTTTGACTCTCACTTTGGAAGACCTGGGGAGTTAGAACATTCTAGAACAACTCCCTGTAATGGAGCTATAGGAAATTACTCATTTCTCCTCCTCTCTCCCAAGAGAGGCCCCTTTAGTCCTTGGGTGTCAGGGAGGAAAAACGTAAGTGTATCTTGAACTGCTGAGGTAGTCCTCATAGTGTGATATATGACAAATGAATAGTGAAGGAGAAAAATATATTTTAGTAGGCCTAACAAATACTATCTCTGTTTAGTCCCCAATGACTGTTGAGACACTACTTCCATGAGACAATATCTTCTGTGGTCCAAACAACCGATTTACAATTAAATATATAGAATGCAACTTGTTTGTAAATTGATGATACAGAAAGATTTCAATACCTAAATAAATTACAGTAATGAGATTATAAAGTTTTCTTAAATATTTATTACTGTGGGAAATCCTGACAGCACATGGCCCTTTCAAGATGCTGACACATAATGACGTCCTTGTATTGATCACTCATCACTTAGTCATTGCCTTTGATTGTGCAGTGGTGTCACTTGCATCTTCTTTAGTCCCTTGACAAGAGAGTAAAGCTGCAGTTTTACACACATGCAGTGTGTTTTATAGCCCGTAGAATCTTTCTTTGCAGCTTACACACAATGGAGAAGGGAAGCCTTGTGTTGGGGAGCACTGAGCAGAGGGGCAGGAGCAAAGAGGTACACAGTAGAACTTGCCTCTTAGTTGAGAGAGCACAATACTGCTTAAATACTCATATTTGATAGTCTGTGGCTTGCCAAAACTTCTTCCTTTAATTTGCAAGAGATACAAGATGATGAATCATCAAAATCTCACCAGGAAAAACAAAATTCTAAATTTTTTGTCATTTGTGCTCAGCATTCAAAGGCATTTCTTCAGATAAAAATGCTGTTTTTATTCATACATACAAGTGACTTACTAGTCTTCGATTATTGGCTTAATACACAAATGTTTGTTGAATGAACACTGACCAGTCTCACTGAAGCCTAATTCAAAGCTTGACTGTCCACCACATTCTAGAAGGAAAAAACAATCCCCTAAATCCTTTACGTCTTATAGGTGAGGCTATTCAGGCTTCAAGAGTTTGCATGACCTACTCATATGTATTACCATTGTAGACATCCCTCTCAGGCCTACTCTGATTCCAACCCTGGAAAAAGAGTTTACTTTTCATAGTCTGATCTTCATATCCCTGTTACTTACATGAAGAACAAAATACAGGGGAACACATTTTGAGCTAAAACACTCTCATGGAAAATTCCATCTGTATTTGTTTGTTTTGTTTGTTTGTTTTTGTTTTTGTTTTTTTTGAGACACAGTCTCACTCTGTTGCCCAGGCTGGAGAGCAGCGGTACAATCTCAGCGCACTGCAACCTCCGCCTCCCGGATTCAGGCAATTCTCCTGCCTCAGTCTCCCAAGTATTTGGAATTATAGGTGCCCACCACCATGCCCAGCTAATTTTTGAATTTTTAGTAAAGACTGGGTTTTACCATGTTGGTCAGGCTGGTCTTGAACTCCTGACATCAGGTAATCCTCCCAACTCTGCCTCCCAAAGTTCTGGGATTACACGTATCAGCCACCATGCCTGGCCCCATCTGTATTCTTTTACAGTGAAAATTAGAAAGCCAAATATTGTTTTCATTGACCCATTATGTGAAACATAGAACCGTCAATAAAAAGGGAAATTAAGATTTTATAAAACTATACTAGTTAATAAGAAATGAGAAAGAACCTCTATGCACAGAGAAACTCCAATACAGAGTAATTCTGACATCTGTCGCATTGGATAGCAGGAAGGAATCACAAATCCTACATGAATCCTTATTGCTACAGACCATGCAAAGAGACTTCGTAATATTGCCTTTGATTACAGACATGCCGAGAACATTTGAAAAGTGAAAAATACACAGCATATGCATACTAAGATTCTTCTTCAATGAATATTAGACTATACCTGTCAGAGATTCCAATAAAACCCTCATAATGTCTTAGATACAGCAGAATGAAAGCAGAGGATATAAAGCATATAAGTACATGACCCCAGGAAGGCAGCAAATACTCTTATCTGACATAGTAAGAACTGAGAGCTTGATGCATTTTGTCAGAGACAGTAGGAAATATTTTATTCTGTGAATAAATTATCCGATTTGATTTTGTTTCCACTATTTGTTTTTAATTAGGCAAGAAACATTTCCAAATTTAAATCGCTAAGAAATATTTCCAAATCTTTAATAGGTAAGTTCCAAACGACGGTATAGTATTTCATCTGTAGTCAGTCATCTTTCCACTTCAAATCAGAAGCAAGATGCTAAACTTGCTTACTAGTTTGCTATTAACTTGTGGGGGAAAAAATCTGGTTCTTCTTGATATGACAGATATTTTTCTTTCCTGTTGTTTTACATGCATTATTTTCAATACAAAAAGTACTGGGCAAAGCCCTGCTATAAAGAACTCTTTGGTTGGAAAGAACCCATTTCCAGGATTTTCATCTGACTTTACCCAGCAGGGACCACAGGGCAGAAGCCTGTCTTTGGAGTGTGGGCTAGGATTACACGCTGTGGCTGTCAACCAGCAGTAACTGCGTAACAGACCTCTGGCATGTCAGTGACTTTTGTGTTCAAAAAAGGGCAATATTTGCAGTTGAAAAAGCATTTTGGAAAACTGTAGGATGCGAAAACCTTATTAGTATCTCGCATCTAGATAAGGAGAGGAGAATGTTACCCCAGGATTCATCAGTCACATACTCTCTATGCACAAACAACCATGAATAATTCAGCTGCAACTAATGTTTGGCGTTTTTTCTAAGCATTTTCTACTTCCTTCCTAGAACACCTGAAGGATAAATTGGAAGAATACATGGCCCGATTTTCCAAAGTGAGGATTGTTCGCACCAAGAAAAGAGAAGGACTCATCAGGACCCGTCTCCTGGGGGCATCTATGGCCAGAGGAGAAGTCCTGACGTTCCTGGACTCCCACTGCGAGGTCAATGTGAACTGGCTGCCCCCACTCCTCAGTGAGTACAGGTTGCTACGGCACCATCCTGGGATGCCTCAGGGGGAGTGAGCGGTTTGCTTCTATTTAGTTTGCAATCAACAAATGCTAGAGGTCCCCTCTACAAGGTTTCCAGTAGAAGCCTTGAATTTTATATTTACCACTGCTGAAAACAGTTTTCTAGGTAACTGCTTCAGGCAGTATTCTACATAATGCCATAAAATTGGCATTTTAAATAATACCAACTTCAAGCTAACTTACAGTTTTAAAAAGATTTCATTTATCTTAGATATCCTCCTTTAGCATTGTCAAATTCACTGGGTGAACACTAAAAGAAAAATGTATCCCAAAACTCTTTTATAGTCCTGTAACTACAGCAAGATTAAAATACACACACACACACACACACACACACACACACACACACATTGAACAAGTATTACAGGATTGTTAAGAAAAGAGGAAGGAAAAATATTCATCCCCAGAATACAGTTAAAGTGTAAGCACCTTGACATTTTCTAGGATTTATAATGCCGTTTCTTTTCTGTTATTCTTTCCACTTCTGGCACCATCCTATAGCCCTAAATATACAGTTCCCTGTATTTACATAGATTCCTTCAAACACAGCGCAGCTGTCCAGGAGCTGTGTCTTTAATGCTCACAATATGGCTAAGCTGAGGGAAACAAGATTATGTCATAACACACTTGGACTGTTAGATACACAAAAGAACTGAAAGTAATTTAAGGTAGAAAACATACGTGTGGTTCAGTTCAAGCTTCATTACTTTTGTTTTAAACGAAGTAAAATATAAAGTCCAGTTGTAGATAAGAAATAGTCAGTTTGAAAAAAAAAAAAAACCCTCCTTCTAAAAAGTTCTTGGTGCACACATAGTGTTGTCCTTTCTGACTTTGCTAAATCAACTTTTATTGTAAAAATATCCCTGGCCTTGGAACTAAAGTCACTAGCAACTGCCTTCACAATAGCTGTCTCAGAAAGAACAGTTTGCTATTGACTACTGTGTAGGTTTTCAGCAAGAACCAGCAAAGCTCCATTAGTAAAAGATGTGAGGGAAAAATCAATTGAAACTGTATGGGATTTAAAACAGGAAACCACCAACACCCAACACCCACCCACCACATTGCCCAGCCACATACCCCTGCACAGATGACTGCCCAGCTATCCTAATCAACCAGAATGTTTTGGTGCCCCTGCAGTCAGAGACTCCTCCGAGCCTTTAATTAAAAGTACCTTGTCCAAGGACACAGCAATTTAGAGCTTCATCAGCAACAGTGAGATTCCCTCAAACAGAATTTGACCTATATGGTGTTGAATACTCAAGGAAGTCAGCAAAAGGCCTAATTTAGTTATGAATCAAAGCAAATCCCTAAATGCCAATTATTGAGTGTCTGATTGTTCACTATGAACCTATCTAAAAAGAAGAAGACAGAAAAAAAAAGAGTAAGAGAAACCCACAACCCACATTTCTCATTAAAGTATTTCATTTCCTGTAGTCCTGATGGATAAGAAATGATTCAAGTTCAGGATCACTATCTTTTTTTATTTTCCTCTATCAGTGTCTTGACACATCATCCAAAATGAGAAAACAGGCAGAGCCACACAGTTTCTTGGCTCATTTTTCACCTCGGGATTATACCTGAATTTCAATTTCCCATTAAGTCTGTTTGTTTGATCCCTGGAAATTGAAATGTAGGAACAAGCCTTGGATGAAAAATTAGTCATGCTGCTTTCAACCTAAGCTAGTACAGCTGGATAAGAGTGAAAAGGAAATTTGAAGGAAAAGTTGACAGTTACTTTAACAGACACATTCTCTTTGGGTCACCTTGGGACTCCTTGATGGTCAAGGAACTTGTAAATCAACCTGATTCTGAATTTGATTGAAGAAAGTCACTGAAACTTTGATACTAAAATACCTGCAGGGATGAGATAAAAAATATTCTGGACCCAGCAAAGTCGGTCTCCTCTGTCAAAGACATCTCAACCCATTATAAGGCTTGCCCTGGTAAAAAACAAATGCTTAGCCATCCCTTGGTGGAGATTAACTAGAAATGGTGCTGGGGGCTTTCTTCATCTGCTAATTAAACTGAAGTAAGACTAAGCCCACCTCTGGCTCTCTGTGGCTTACCAGGACCATGCTCTAAAATCGCAACCCTTTCCACACTCCAGTATCCTGCATTCCCCTTCCCCTGTTTTATTTTTTTCCCATCTCATTTATCACCTTTTAAAACACTATATAATTTAGCTATTTATTATGTTTATTCATTGTCTTTGCTTCATTCCTAAAGACAGAATTGTTTGTGATGTTATTCATCATGGTATCCCCAGAACCTAGAAAAAGTGACTACCACATAGTTTCTAATCAATAAATAATTGTTGAAATATGAAAAGAATGACTGGATGGATAAATGGATGGATGGATAGATGGACGGACGGACGGACGGACGGATGGAAAGGCATATAGACCTAGAGGGGAAAGTGTTCACAAAATTCTGTGGTTTCCATCCCTGTTTCATCAGTGTCATCAAAATAAAGCCACTTATTATTACAACCAGTAAAACCTTATGCTTTTTATCCTATGCTTAAGAGAAACAAACTTCTGAAGCAAACAGAGAGTTTCCTTACTGCAGGAACTTTATCCCCAAAACAAATTCTATTTACTCCGCAATCTCTGGGGAAACAAAATATGATATGGAAATAACCGAACTTCCTAATTGTGCTAAATGATATGTTTTTTATTTGTTTATTGTCACATCTAAAGGTCTTCCGAATAACAAGAAGCTCTGCCTATTAGACAGCACTGGTCTGTTACAATAAATATGAACTAAATTTACATTCTTGGAAAGAAAGTTTCCTCACAGATAGGCATTCTAGCTAAACCAAAGGATGCAAATGCCAGTGCCCTGTGCTACCTGTTAAGTCATCACAATAACCATAGCCACATAGGAAAGGAAGGTGCTGGAACTGAATAAAACAAATCACCTCTCTGCTACCATGAGAACAATCGAACAATCGAAAGGTCAGGTTTGAAACTGGATTGTTAAGCAGAGGTTGCATCTTGGTTATTGCTCTCAAAAGCTGCATAACCCTTGACAAGTTATTTAATTTCTCTAATCTTACCTTCCTCATACATAAATTGGGGATAACAATAATAGTTACCCTACAGGGTTGCTAAGAGTATTAGGAATAGCATGAGAATAAATCACTTGGTAGTTACTCAAGAATTTAAGAGTAGTAGAAGTCATCGCAGTAGTATAATATCACGTAATACTTTTTCAAATATGATGAGGGAAGAAAATGTATAGCTTTGATCAACAGAGTTTAGCTCCAAGAACAGCGGCAAAATAGGACTTGGAAAAATCTCTGGCAAACCTGAGAGCAAAGAATTCTATGTATGATCTGTCAGCATTTATAGGAGAGCAGCCACCATGATTGTTATGAGATTAGATGCCACAAGATCCATGAAGTTAAATATTCACATTTTGGAACCTCCGGAAAGCAGGCCAGTATTTTCTCAGCAGGCTCCAGCAGTATGCTTGAAAGAACACAACTACTGTTTATACTCTGCGCACGTTGGATGCACGATAAAATGACAGATTGGGGACAGGTCAGAGCAAAAATGTGACACAGGGAGAGCTAAATGGACTTCTGCAAGTCTCTCTGGGACATAACTTTCTTAAAGGAAAATACAACAACTCTCATTGGACCTAATTGCTGTCCCATCACGTTAAGTCCAGAATTCAGAGATTCCTGAAAAGTGCTCTAAGGACGACAGGGAGCCAAGGCTACAAGCGTTATGCATTAGTAGGGGACTACAGGCTTCTGTTTGCTGAAAAATGATAGATGACCTAGGCAGGCATGTCATTTCCTATTTTGTGCTTTCATTTTTCAGACCAAATTGCACTAAACCACAAAACCATCGTGTGTCCCATGATCGATGTCATTGACCACAATCACTTTGGGTATGAGGCACAAGCTGGGGATGCCATGCGAGGAGCCTTCGACTGGGAAATGTACTACAAAAGAATCCCCATCCCTCCAGAGCTCCAGAGGGCAGATCCCAGCGACCCTTTTGAGTGAGTAGCAGCCAAGGGAGGGGCCGAGGGAGTGAGGGCAGGTAACTCATTGCAGTGTTAAACCTGGGCTCAAGAAGACAATTATCTCTAACAAAATGGAATAAAACAGGTGGTAAGATGTGCAAAACATCAGAGAAAGGTCAGACCTACACCCTGTAGAAAATTAAAAGCTGTGCTGAATTCATGGATCACTCCTTCTTAAACTTTGCTAAACATGAAACTATACAGATGAAAGAACCACAAAAATGCATAAACAGAAAATACATATAGAAGGAAGGCATGTTCCCTTCTAAGACGCTTTCTTATTTTCAGGTGTCTCTGTTCTTTTGACTTTTCCCTAAAGGATTACTGAAAACAACTATTTTGTTTTTCTTTTATTAGAAATTGATATAAAATATGAACCAGTGTTTAAGCCTACTTTCTACACCCTGTTGGAAATTGTTTACCTATAATGGAAGCGTGCTCCTAAGCAGGTGTTTCCACAACTGAAACATGGGGAATTCAATCAAAGTGATATATCCAGAGTCAATTATCTTTGATAATCCTGCCCCTAATTTAAGTACATACTGTACAGAGAAGAAGGTACAGCAAAGATCTAATGATTAATTTCTACCAAACGACATCCCATTTTTTCAGTGTGGACATGAGAAATATGCATTTAAAGAAAAAGAAAAAAATATGTATAGTTAGTTTGACAGACTCTCAAGACCATTCATAGTAAATGGTAAACTTTTTCCAACAGTTAGCCCAGAGATAACCCAAGGCATACTATATATCTATTCTTCATACTGCACCCTTTGACATCATTAAAATTGTTATTTAAAAACTATTATATATGTTTTTCTTAGTACAAGAAAAATAGATATATCTGTGATCAAGCTTTGCACACTCTGAGTCCATTTAAAATGCATTAAATATTATTGTCTTTTCACCAATAATATGGGCTGTAAAAGTTTGCAGTAAATAAGCTACTGAGTACAAAAACCACTTCTCTGACACTAACAGTTTAAATTACAATAACATTTCAAAATTATCAGGAAAATGTTTCCTACACTTCTAGTCTTTAGAAAAATGAACTCCTGGGGAAGCAAAGGGAATTTCAGAAGATGTTAGCTTGATACCACGCTAGAGAAGTCGTTTCTTTTGTAAAATAAAGCGCTCTCATTAAATATCCAGAGCTTCTGGAGTTCAGCCTCTTTTGACTCTCCACTTACTGGAGAGTTTTTGAAAAGAAATAATAAAGGACCTTTATTACTTCCTCAAATGCTTTGGCCAAAATTTCACAGATATTCAAAACTACTAGAAAAGCTTTTTAGTAATCTAAGCAAAAGCGTTTCTAATAAGCATTTGAAGTGGGCTTAGCTGAGAGATGCTCTTCAGACTTCTCTGAAGGTAACCATCTGAAAATCTTGACAGAGAGGGGCTTAAGGTGGGACGAGTGACAAGGGTGTGAGGTGATGCATATGTTGATTAGCTTGATTTAGCCATTCCACAATGTGTACATATTTCAAAACATCATGTCGTACATCATAAATATATACAACTTTTATATGTCAGTTTAAAATATAGCTGAGAAAAGAAAATAAATTTAAAACATTTTAAATGTAAAAAATTTTTAAAACATGCATGTGGAGAGGAGTACAAAAGGCCTTAACCATGGTAGAACTGTTATTAGATGCCGGTCCACAGCAGAAGAGCCACAGTTAGGCCACTACAATGCGAAAGTACCATGTTTTAAGGGCTGGAACTCACCCAGGCTGGCTTCCCAAATGCCGTGATAGTGACTGGTTATCATGACCTTAACTTTATTTGCACTGTGATCGCAGAGTAGGGGTCCTGCTTCCTGAAACAGTGGGATCAAAATGCTATCAGAGGAATCTGCAGTGGAGACAATTCTAAAAGCATTCTCAGTGCCTGTATTGACAGTCAAAATTTTTGTCAGGCTGACTCTGACTGTGGCTATTACAATATCAAGCGCCTTGCTTAACCACAGAGCTGGCAGAATTGGTAACTTTCAGAACTAGGTTACCTCTTGTTTCTGTCACCTACTTAGGTGGTTGTTGAACTGTCAAAAATTGCATTCATCTATTTCATATTACTATCTTTCTGCCTTAAGTCTTATTGATTCCTAGGAATGTGGACACTTTAGCCTCCTGTAATAAATGTAACTTGTAGGAGGTGTCCACTTTGATCTTACAAACCGTGTTTGCCGTCCTGATAATAAAAGAATGGTTACCCAAGCAGCTCTGAGCAGTGTATCGGCAATTTCATTATCACGGCAGTCACCTGAATGTGCTCATAAACAGACAAGCTTTAGGCTACAACTTGCTTCTCTAGCTGTAAAGCTTTAAGGTGCACAGAATGAAGGCAGTCTATCTATACATCTTTCTTACAGTCTTTCACGTTTCAAGAGGCTGCTGCCAAAGAGTGTGGTTTTCTGTGGGAAGACGGGGAGAGGAGGCTGAAAAGCTGGGAAGAAGGGAAACAAAGAATGTGCAAACGTATCGCAAACCCCAGGACTTTTCATACAATAAGGATGAAAAATGTATCTTTCTTTAGCAAGTTTATCAAATGTCTTATGTGACAAGATTTGAATTATCTCATTTATTCTGCCATTACTTGAATTTTCAATGACTACTGATTAGAGCAGTGTTTTTCAACCTGAAAATTCTGTGAAAGTAGTTAACAGTATTTAATTATTAATGAATTGGATTGAATTCAATTGAAAATTTTATAGTGTTATACTAGTGGGTAGGTATAAGTGTCATTTCTCAAATATTCAACTTCAGTTATAAGGTATATATGAACCTTATGTCATATAAACTGTATTTCTTCACATACACTACACAATGAAAGAGGTCAACATCTACTAACTTTCTAAACTAGGAATCAAGACCTTCAACAATCTGTCTAGAAAAGAAAAGGAAAACTCATGGATAACTTTGAGCATTAAGAAAATATTTACTGATATTTACAAAGGGATCCTGTTTTTCAACAAATTGCTACTAGAATGTAAGAGAAAAAGCAACATTCTTGATACAAATTATCATATAGTGGTCATAACTTCTATTGGATTGGATACATTTAAGAAAAATTTTGGCTGGGCATGGTGACTTGTGCCTGTAATCCCAGCACTTTGGGAGGCCGAAGTGGATGGATCATTTGATATCAGGATTTCAAGACCAGCCTGGCCAATACAGTGAAACCCCACCTTTACTAAAAATACAACAATTAGTTGGGCATGGTGGTGGGCGCCTGTAGTCCCAGCTACTTGGGAGGCTGAGGCAGGAGAATCACTTGAACTCAGGAGGTGGAGGTTGCAGTGAGCAGAGATTGTGCCACTGTACTTGAGCCTGGGCAACAGAGCCAGACTCCGTCTCCAAAAAAAAAAAAAAAAAGAGAGAGAGAAATATTTTGGGGCCAGGAGCAGTTGCTCTCACCTGTAATCCCAGCACTTCAGGAGACCAAGGCAGACAGATTGCTTGAGCCCAGGAGTTTGAGACAAGCCTTGGCAACATAGCAAAACCTTGTCTCTATGAAAAAAAAAAATAATAGTGGGGCAGTTTATTCAATTTTGCATGACTGTAGTCCCAGCTACTTGGGAGGCTGAGGTGCACAGAACACCTAAGCCTAAGAGGTTGAGGCCACAGTGAGTCATGATCGCACCACTGCATTCCAGCCTGTCTCAAACACAAAAACAAAACAAAATTAAATTAAAATAAATTTTTAATTTAATTTTCTAAATTAAATATTTGGGGTTATTTATTAAGGAAGAAACCAGAATGCTCCCTCTTTCTGATGGCTTTTATCATGATGTAATGCCTTGAGAAAATTCTTGTTATTCATGGCTTTTAGATGGTTTTCTCATTACTGGTCCATCTTGAAATCAGGGCACTTAAAAATGAAAGACTTTTCTATGTGACAAAACATAATATGCTCCTTCAGCCATGATGACAAAGAGAAAGATGTTCGTTTGCTTTCTAAAAGTTTAGAGTGGGCCCGAAGAAATTATCTTGTCCAAATTCCCTTCAATGTGAGCAACCACTAGACAATGTCCAAGACAGGCATCCAACCTCTGCAGTAACTCATCTTTAAAGTAAATTTCCTACCTCAAAAGATATCCTTTCTATTAGACTTATTGACAGACACATTTTCCCTCGCATGAAGAAATTCTGCCTTTCTGATCCCAAATTGTCCTACTCGAGGTACAAGGAATATTGAATTGGTCTTTAATGACAGAGCTATTAGAAATATTTGAGAACAATTGCCATGCCCATACTACTCAAGAGGGAAAACAACAAAACATTTTTCTTTTCCAGGCTACATATTTTCAGTTCTATCACCATGTTTTCCAGGTCTACCAGAATCTTGTAAAAGTTCACTCTCGTTGATGTAACGCATCAATATATGTAAATTCACTTCACTGCTGTAATACTACTAACGTTTCTCCAACTTATCTCCAACGGCAGCATGAAATAGTCCATCCAGTATATCAGGTATCCAGACCCTAATACATGACTCTGTCAACTGTAAAAATCAAGTTAATTTCTAGAGAATGTATGCAGGTTCCTAGATATGCTTCCTTTTGCTAAATACAAAGAATCGATTCAGCAGTTTATTCAATTTTGCAAGTTGATTATATTTTTCGGAATCCACCTCTATTCTGTCTTTGTGATTGTGGGAAAATTATCTTTGCACTGCCAGTCTTCCTCAGATAGATCTTCACAATTCCTTAAAGACTTATAGAACTAAGAGTTTTAATCACCATCGATGGAATTCTTGCCTAGACTTATTAGTGAGAACTGACATTCTCTATTTTCCATCTATTTATACTACCAATTTCCAAAATGTTTAAAATAAGTATAATAAATATATACATACAGCAATGGGGAAAAAATTCACAGGCTACAATCATCCTTTTTTTATTTATTTTATTTTTTTTGGAGACGAAATCTCACTCTGTCGCCCAGGCTGGAGTACAATGGCATGATCTCGTCTCA